GCAGTCAGTCTGGTCCTATACTTTAAGGACACAGACGATGCTTCAAAATTTGACGATAAATCCGATTTCGCCAACTTCCTTTACCCTTCCTTACATTACCCAGCCAAATCGTTTTCCCACCTTTTTAAGTGTTCGGTCCTTTGCCGTGGTTCACGCAAACACGTGCACACACAGGCATACATACACACACATACATACAAGCAAACACACACAAGCACATACACCGAGGGCACCACACGATGTTCTACCGACTATCTAGAAAAGACAGTTCTTGAATTCATCCCCTAATGGTAGCCTACAACTAAAAGTGCATATTGACAGGCTAAAGCCATTTCACGGCAATAGCCGTAGAACACCTTAGATTCTCAGCAGTCCACCGTCAGCCTGCTGTCGCTGAACGAGAGGAGCGGCAGGAAAGGTGCTGTGAGGCCTATTTTTGTTTCTCATCATTCATGCTGTTTCTCATAAACGTTGTGTAGCGTGTATTCTGCATTTTTACATGAACAGCTGTTTGATCTCACTTCGTCATCAATGCCAAGCAAGCTGATATAAGTTCGTACCACCCAAACTATGCCGGAAAAAAGCGGCACAGTGTCGTCCCAATGCGTTTGGAGCTGTCATGGTTTATACTTCGCCGTGCTTCGGCACTGCTAGCTCACTGCCAATTCTATATCGCGATAAGATGATTGAGTTGAAATTTTGTGGAAGAATAAGAAAAATAAATGGTGCATAAGCAAAAAGAAAAATAACAGAATAAAAATAACAATATAACAAAGGTAATCATAACAAAAACTACGATTCCCAAAATTTCAACTTGGGAAAGTAAAATAAGTATATGTCCGTTTGAAAATAAAATTTTGAAATAACAGAAAGAAAATCAGACTTAGCAGCAAGTGTGTTGACGGAGCCCGTGATAACGAGCATCACCGAAATGACAATGCGAATAATTTTGGTTTCCAGTGCAGCGTCTTCATCGCTGATAGAAGCTGAAAGTGTTTTCTTGCTCGCTGCTTCCGCATCCTCCTCTTCCTCGTTGAATGGTCGCGATTCTTTGTCACAAACGGAATTATTGCTAGGGACGGACATTTCTTCTTCGTTTTGGTCCATGACTAAAAATTTAAAATACCAAAAAAACTGGATGATACTCATTTATTAGTTGTCAATTTTCGAAAAAAAAGACAAAACTTAACCTGAAGTGTCATAATACGTTAAGCATATTCTTATTTCAGTCTGGCCACTTTTCTTTTTTAAATTTTGAAATGTTTTGTTAAGTCAGCAGACAAAAAAGTAATCTCTGTGAGATATAAAGCGGTACGAGTATATTCGGTTATCCAGAAGATAAAAATACCTCAGTACCAATTACATATCATACAAACTGCGCTGCTCTCAAAGTAGCACGTGTCGCCGCTTTCGCGCTAGAAGTCGCCGATCCAACTCTTTCAGTACAACGAATCTTTTTAAGATTCGTTCATGTATTTCCATGGGGGCTTGTTACTGGCGCGAACAACTGCCCGAAACGGAATCGCAAGCCTTAAGCTTCTTATTTGCATTTTCTTCCTCTTAACCAGCCCTTCTCTCTCTTCCTTGCGTCTTCTCCATCTTCTAACTAATCTAGTCTTAAGTGATTAGACACATGCTTATCAAAAACATGGCATACTGCAGATTTCCAGACCTAGCCAAATGCTGCGTTCGGTCTACATTTGCAGCCAACAGATGAAAACACTGTGCTTCCTAATATTTCACCACTGCATATGATATTTATGTTTTCCCAATATTTCATACTTTGAGTAACTGCAAAGAAATGAACAAAAACATCTGCTGGATGACAGGTACTTCGAAAAATAAGATGAACTAACTCTAGAAAAAGAACAGCTCGCAAGAAGAGAATAGAGCGTCTAACGAATTCCTGGTATCGTTTGAGACTCTTAAAACCTCAAAGCTATGTTTAATCTCGCCTCAACCAGTTTTCCCCCACAACAGTGCTGGCTTCCTGTATACAC